AGATCCCTTCAGCCGTTCTGGCGTGATTGAGTAACATAAATCCATTCATCCGTCCATCCAAATATCCAAACTTTTGCATTTATAATATTTAGATAATAATCGTAATTAGTAATTAGTAATACTCATCCCAATTTACCTGTCCGGTAGTTGTGGTATGGTATACGGGTATGCGACCCCGGCTTCCCTAGCTATTACTGTCCTATTCCGTGCCCTCCTGGACGGTAATATCCTACATTTCCTATTTCCTACCCTAACTTACTTTACTCTTCCTTTTCACACCACCTATCCTTCCCCTTTTCCTATTCCTACCCTCCGCCAATCCAACGTCTGCCGCGCGGATGGATGCATGGCTAGGGGCGAGCCTAGTCGTTAGCGTGCCACACTGCCCTGGGACCGGGCGACCCCAGAATTAGGTTAGCCTTACCCTGGCATGCGGGGCTCTGCTGGGGGGGACAAACCTTTCCCTCGCTATTCGTGGGAACGCAATGGATAGTCATAAAAATAATTTAATTAACCAAAATGGCGGCGATGTGGTTCGCCACCCATCACGTCTCGTTTCTCGCGGGGGCGAAAAGCGGCCCACGGAGAGCCGCTTCGCTACGTTGAATGTAAGAGGAGGAATGGATGGTAAGGTAGATGAAGTATGTCAGATGATGGATGAACGTTGCATTGATATTCTGTGCGTGAACGAAACCAAGAGGAAAGGATGTGACACCACGGTTCATGGCCCCTACACGGCATACTGGTCGGGAGTCCCCCAAACCAGCCGAGGCTGTCAGGGAGTTGGTGTGATTCTTTCGTCTCGAATGGTTGAATGTGTGATGGAGCATGAATGTATAAGCCCAAGACTCCTCTGGATTAGGTTAAAAGTCGGACTCACTCGCTTGTTTATCCTTGGGGTCTATGCACCAACGGATCTGCGTGGAGGTGGGTCCATAAAAACACAACAAGAGAGAGAGGAATTTTGGGATAGCATGAGAGAGGTCTTGAATAAATGCGGAGAAAATGAACGGATCGTGATGTTAGGGGACTTTAATGGATGGGTTGGAGTAAAGCGTGATGGGTATGAAGGAGTTCTGGGTACGTTTGGGGACGAGAGAGTGAATGACAATGGGAGAAGCCTGCTTGAAGTATGCTTGGAATGGAATCTGTGCGTGGCCAACACAATGTTTGACCACAAAAAGATCCATTTGTATACAAGAGATGAGGGTGAGTCTAGAAGTATGATTGATTTTGTAATTGTGGATGAAAGACTGAGGAAGAAAGTGCTAGACACTCGGGCATACCGCGGTGTAGGCCTCGACACAGACCACTTCCTGGTCATAGCCCGAATGCGTGGCCTCTTTAAACGGTGGCGACACCGAGTGGCCGAGCCTACGAGTGTTTTGGACAGAGTAAAAGTGGAAAATCTACAAGAAGAAGAAAAGAAAGACGAGTATGTAGAGAAACTGAAAGAAAGTTTTAAAGGGATAGAAGAGATAGGAGTGATTGAAGATTTGTGGGAGACATTTAAGAAAGGGGTCGTAAATGTTGCTATCGAGGTATGCGGGGTAGCTAAAAGAAGGAAAGGAAGAAAGAATGATAACGTGTGGATGGATAAAGATGTACAAAAGGTTGTGCAAGAAAAGAAGAAAGCGTGGTTGGATTGGTTAGCAACAAAAGCAAACCAAAAAGTTCAAAAGGCAACGGATGACGAGATAAAGGAAGCAAGAACGAAGTATAAAAGATTGAAAACAGCAGCGAAAGAAATTGTGTCTAGAAAGAAAGAAGAACGAAAGGATGATTTCGATAGGAGGCTCACTGAAGATTTCCAGTCAAACATTAAGTTTTTCTGGAAAACCATCAAAACAGCCAGAGGAAAAACTTCTACCTCTGAGCTGAGTACAATCAGGAGTCAAGATGGGAGCATTATAAAAGGAGAAGAATGTGTGTTAAAGAGATGGAAAGAGTATTTTGAAAGTTTGTTTGAAAGAGAGGAAGTGCAGGTACAGCATCTGCCACCTTCCACGGAAACTAATATAAGTGTTGATGAAAATGAGATAAGCATGGATGAAATAGTGAAAGCGTTGAAAAGTATGAGATTAGGTAAGGCTGCAGGGTATGACAGGATTACCGTCGAGATGCTGAGGGCTGGACAGGGCCTGGTGGCTAGTCAGCTGTACCGCCTTTTCAATCTGTGCTGGCGAAATGGGCAAGTACCGGGAGACTGGTGCAAAGCCGTAATCGTGCCATTGTATAAGGGAAAAGGGTCACGGCAGGACTGCATAAATTACCGCGGTATAAGCCTTCTCAGCGTCGTCGGTAAATTGTATGCGAAAGTGTTGATTGAAAGGATTGTGAATGAAACAGACAAGAAAGTATGGGATGCACAAGCGGGATTTAGAAAGGGAATGGGATGTACGGATCAGGTCTTTTCCTTGCGGTGCATAGCCGAAAAGTATTTGGCTAAAAACAAGAAAGTCTACTGCGCGTTCGTAGATCTAGAAAAGGCCTATGATAGAGTGGTGAGGAATGAATTGTGGTCAGCACTGTCTGTGAACGGTGTGAGCAGTATCCTCATACGAGCAATGCAATCTCTTTATAGGGATTCTAGTGCTTGTGTGAGGATAAACGGGGCATACACTGAATGGTTTAATATCGAAAAAGGTGTTAGACAGGGATGTGTAGCGTCACCGTGGCTGTTTAATCTGTTCATGGACAATTGTTTGACAGATTTAAAAGAGAATGAAAGTGGGTTGAGAATGAATGAGTTACTCGTCAAATGTTTTCTCTATGCTGATGACCAAGTATTACTTGCGTCTTCGGCCGAGGAGTTGCAGGAGATGGTAACTGCTATGAGTGGAGCTTTTGTTAGAAAGGGAATGAAGATGAATGTAAGGAAGACGAAAGTGATGGTGTTTGAAAAAGATGAGGCAGTGACAGACTGCAATATCGTGATTGAAGATGACCAAATTGAACAGGTGAAAGAGTTTGTGTATCTGGGTTCAAAGTTTACAAGAGATGGAAAGTGTGAGAGTGATATCGAAAGAAGAGTGAATGCAGGAAACATGGTGAATGGAGCTTTGCACTCCTTTATGAGCAGTCGGAAGGTGTCTAACAAGGCTCGTTTGGCTGTGCATGAGGGGGTGTTGGTTCCGACACTCATGTACGGAAGTGAAACTTGGGTATGGCAGAAGAAACATGAAAGCAGAATAAATGCAGTTGAGATGAGAGCATTAAGAAGTATGATAGGAGTTAAACTGAGTGACAGGCTAAGAAATAGTGAGGTAAGGAAACGTTGTGGTCTGAAAGAAGATGTAGTGACAAAAATTGAGAAAGGTATGCTGAGATGGTTTGGCCATGTCGAGAGAATGAATGAAGAACGATTGACGAAAAAAGTATATAAGGCGAGTGTGAATGAAAGTGTTGGAAGGGGTAGACCTAGGCGGACATTTCTAGACCAAATCAGGGACGTCTTGAAAAAAGGCCAGGTCAAGAGTACCCTAAACCGTAGAGCATGTATGAAGGGAATAATGAAAGTGGACGAAGCAAAACAAGTATGTAAGGATCGTAGCAAGTGGAAAGAACTGGTCTCTGCCTACCCCTACGGGAAAGAGGCGTGATTATATGTATGTATGTATGTAATTAGTCCTGCCTACCTATAAATTGTTTTCAAAAATACTTACTTACCTGTCTTCTTACTTTTTTATATATACTCAATAAGTATCACTAAACGTAAGCACAGGTTTTTATCAAGACAAGTGACCCATCAAGATTGTTTTCTTAGTACTGACGTACCTACCTAAAGTTTACAATTTTATGGCCACGACGAGGCGACGTTTGGTGACATTTTGTTGTATTATAGGTAGTAGGTATCTAGGTAATAACAGTAGGTACCTATGAAAATCCCACATAATATACTTTGTTTGTCCGCCGCAAAAGTCGTCTAATAAATAATTAAACTGTTTTGTAATTCTTTATTTATTTATAACACTTGCATTGAGAGCCGTGGTAGCTCAGATGGTTAGCGCTCGCTCGCTATCACATTACGCGAGCAATCCGGGTCGATCCCCGTCGGCACCAATGAAATTGTTGCAATTTTATATAGTAATCGAATATAGACTTTACTTTTTTTTAACTTTTATAATGATATTGTATTACAGATGAAAATTTTAAAATATTGTCTGTCGTCCAAAACGCATCATCTCTTTCAATTATATCAATTTACATGCCGTCTTTTGTCTTTGGCGTTCAAATTACAAAATAGCAAAACTTTTCGTTTCGAATAAAACTCGAATAAGCGCGCGTCACCGCCTGTGCATGTGTGTGTAAGCATCGTCCTCCCGCACCGTACCGGGGGAAACATTATTCAGTGAGATGCACGATAATTCATAGTAACATGCGCGCGTAAAAAAATACGAAAAGGCCTTTGGAAGAAGGGGTTTTATGTAAAAACCACTGCATTAATCAATTACAAATAAAATTTATTGGATTCTTCGATAATTAGGCTGTGTCGGTACCGACTTTGTTTTGGAAATTTTACACTTCTTTTATTAGTAATTTACCCCCAAAGTTGTGTTAAAATTGGCAATAAAAACGAATCTTTGGTAGCTCGTAACTTTTTAATAACATTTTATTTTACTATTCTGTTTCCGTACAGACAAATTTAACAATGAGACAAAACGATATCATGTTTAATTTTGGATGTACACTGTCAAACAGCTGAGTAAAACCCCTCCGAAATTTCTATGGAAATAATGTCGACTAGTGTCACCTTAAATCTCATTTCTAATCTAATTAATATACAATATAACCAATACTTTAGAAAGAAACATCAATCTCTACACTTTTCTAACAAATTAAACTCCCCCGAAAGATGATATCACATTAAGTTAAGATAATAATGTTCGCCATCGCCCTTCAACGGGAAAGAACCGTGTCTTCCAATGGATGTTCGCGTAACAGACTTAACTAAAATGGCTTGTCACGGGCAACTCATAAGAATCTCAATATTATTTCAGGGTTGCAAAGTGAGGCTACTGACGGCTTCGGGCACTTCCCTGCCGGCTTACAATCCATTCTTGCCTCCGCCGGCTCTGACGCAAGTGATGCTGCTGGCGCGCCCTGCTACCTTGACGCGCGTCGATCTCAAGTTCGTCATCACATACACCTGCGATGAGGAAATGTGCTCAGAGATGGGCGAGGCGAGTAACTTACCCCTCGCCGACATATAGGCGCCAGCTGCATCAATTTCTTTGAACCTGAGGTCAAAAGACTGCCAATCACCAACATGAGTGATTACTATTTTCCGTGACTCTCAAATTATGTATGCACGTAACAAAATTGCTATTTTATCATCCACGCCATAGCCCAACGGATTAATAAGCTGAAGTGCCGGCTATATAGCTCGAAGAACCGACAACCGATGGGGAAAAAAGGTTCTCGAGTGGCAGCCTCGTACTGGCGGACGAAGTGTAGGGCGTCCCCCCACTAGATGGAGTGACGACCTGGTAAAACATGCAGGAAGTCGATGGATGCAGGTGGCTCAGGACCGTGCTTTGTGGCATTCCTTGGGGGAGGACTATGTTCAGCAGTGGACTTGTGAAGGGCTGTAATTTAGATATATATATATATTAGAGGGTTAGTGATCGCAATACCTCCATTGCAGTGTTTACATTTAGCAAAATGTTAAAATAAAATAAAGACAACTGTTTTTCTACTAGAAGTAATGTCTTACTAATACCCTTACTATCAAAATGATTGGCAGTCTTGGTATATTATGTACTTATTAGCAAGAGATTATAAATGTATAATAAGAAATATTTCAATTATTATCAAATGCTTTATTCAAAATGTAATGCTATTATAAATATCTCTTAATATAAGATATTGTAAAATATAAGGCAGATACAAACAGAATTTGCGATGTAAGCAACTTCTTACTTTTTGGCTAGTTTTAAAAAGAATTCTTATTATGAATTCAGGAATCAATCAACTTAAACTGTTGAGTTGTTAAAATTCTACTAATGGCAGTAGTAGCAATGATTTACTTAAAAGGCTTTTTAAAAACTTACAGTAATGATATGGCAAGCTCTCTGACTACGTTGCAAAATCTGGTATTCTGGTTAATACCTTTTATTTTTTAACATTAATGATTTATTTTATTTTTATTCTAGTCTTAATTTTATTTCCAGTATATATTTTATTCGGAATTTTATACACATTAGGATTAACCATTTATTATTTACTCATTTCACTCACGCCGTTAGATCTGAGCATAAGAAATAAATGCAGTATTACATGAATCACAAAAATGTGAGTGCAAAATTTGTTTTAGACTTAAGGAAAAATGCATAATGCATTTAAATCGTACAACATTCAATATTTCCTTTTGCTTGTTTATTAATGTGCAATATGTTTCATCGGAAATTTTAGGTATAACTATTTTTGTGATAATAAAATAAAGTATCTCGATCTCGTGATCAAAGAACAGTGTTGGCATACTTTGGTTATTGATCAATACATTCCAATTTAATGCGCATTTCGTATCATATAATGTGTAACATAATAACAACCAACAGTCAGTCAGTGCGACGTTTCGAAACATTTGTTTCATTTTTTTTTAATTATAAATGAACGAATTTGTTTGGTTGTTAAAACAAAATCATAAACTTGAGTGCAACAATTTTTTTTAAAGATTAGAAACTAATATTACCTATCAACTTAACAATACGTTTTATATAACATGTAAAATCTTAATATCTCCGACATTAGTTTCTCGTTTTAGCAGTTGTACTGTCACTATTGTTCCATATGAAAGTCACTTTATATAACAATATCTAAGAGTTTTATTGAACCGATTTTACTGATTAAATTAAATTTACAGAGTATAGTATAATTCAGCGCTCCATATGAATTTCAACTAAATTTCTGATTGTGTAATTTGACTTATATATTTCTAAAGTAAAAATTTCGACACAGAACAGTTACAATTTACACCGATTTGTGTCTGGTCATATATTTGTCCCAATCTTTGAACTATTATTTAATAAAAGAAAATATATCTGTTAGTAATAATTTATCTGAAGTTTTCCGTTTATTATGTTACACATTGAAGTTTATAGTAATTTTAATTGTAATAAATGTTCTGAAATTTAGCTCCAATATAAAAAAAAAATATAGCTTTATCTGAATACTGTCAGGAAAAACTTTTGGCCGTCGATATTATACAATCTCATATATACTACTAGACTACAGGGTTATTTTTCAAAGAGTAGCCAAATTTAAACTTAAGTTCAAATAATATTAATAAATATATAAATAATGATATACCGTTATTGCAGTTTTTAAAAATACGTGTAAAAAGGCTTCTACTTTTTTTGAAAACATCCCAAATTGAATGTGATTTATGGGACAATTGAGGACATACTTACAACTACGTACGCGTACGCGCGCTCATATGTGTGCGATTCAATTCACTATGTTTTTGCCGAGCGATCGACCCATACGAATATGTGCGTACGTAGTAAAATAGTAGGCGTTAGATATGAAAATTTATGAATGACAATCACTCAAACAACAGAAATCAATGGAAACATGCGTGCGCAGTAGTCACTTAACCGATTCGTTGCGGCACCAATTTTCGACAACTTTTAGCTGTGGCGGCGAACAAATATTTCATGACACGCCGGGCGTGTCAAGCGCCATCCGCCATGTGTAAAAGTAATGTTCTTTTTTATGTTTTTATGTTTTTTTTTTATAGGAGAGGGGGCAAACGAGCATGCGGCTCACCTGATGGTAAGTGACTACCGCCGCCCATGAACAACCGCAACACCAGGGGAATTGCAGATGCGTTGCCGGCCTTTTAAAAAGGAGTAGGCTCAGGCTTACTTGTTTAGACTTAATTCAGTTTATTTGACATCAAACATAAGTTACAAATGGAAGGATACTTGTTTTAGTGGGTAACTACGTGTTTTTTTCCGCGTTTTATTTGAAATTGAGGGAAAGTGACTTTTTTATGAAGAGATTACAAACCTTTTGTACTATTTTTTGTTGTTATAAAAAAATCATTTATATAAGTAGGTCACCTAAATCACCCTTGAAACCTTGGTTTTTATTAAATTAAATTTTCACCTAATAATAACATTTGTAAATATCAAACAATGAAGAACCTTAATTTGAAAAAAAAAAAAGGTATATCATTCATTGATATTTACAAATGTTAAATATTATTTAATATTATACAGATGTAAAAGTAAAGTCGATCTGAAAACGTCTAATTAGTAAGAATAACAAAACAAGTGTTTTCAAAAGGAAAAAAACGCCGACGCTATACGGCGGCGGATTGACAAAAGACTATTTATTAGCGAACTTTTTATATGCATGAACGGTTTCGAACTGTTTAAAGCAAAAATAAACCTTATACCATATCACAAGAGCACATGGTACTTCGTAGGTCTATTCGGCAATATGATAGTAATAAGACGGTAGTTCAACCATTTTAAGCAAAATTAAACAATAAGACAAACGCATTGTTTTTTTTTAACAGGAGACTTGTTTTCCAGAAATTTATTTACAACTTGAGTTTGTGAGTGATCACAATGAGTGCTATTATTTGTTACTTATTAGACTATTTTTCCATAACATGATTTAAAACCCACAAAGTAAAAAGAGTACCATGTACAAGTTAAAAAAGGGTTGTCGACCACTAAAAATTTCAAATTTTCAAACTATCCAGAAACGAAGCTGCATGCATGAACTACTCGCAAAATAATGAATATTTTGTTCTGGATAAATTTTCCAAAACAGCAATTTGAGCGAGTTATAACGATTTTTAAAAAGACACGACTCGGGTGTCATACGATACACTCAAAAGTAATCGATGGCACGCCTGGCGTGTCACCCGCACTGAACTGGTTAAAATAATGCATTTCCATGCATTTTGAATTTAAAAGATAAAAAGGACTGAATGTTTGAGATTTTTTTAATTAATTTTTCTTCACCATTTGCCTATAGTATTATTCTGAATCTTCTCTGCAAATTTGGCCAGTTATTGCAAAATAACCCTGTATAATATGTGTATGAAAAAATCCTGACCGGGCACGGGCAGTCTAAGGTGCAAGACGACGGAAATGTAGTCGTAAATCCTACCAACCGTAGCAATTATCAAAAAATCCTCACTTGCTGCTGTGGGAGGCCAATCCCCAGAAGTGGACTATTACGGTCTAACAAAGAAAATGTTTGTAATTTTGCAATTTACGACGACGATTTAGATAGGATCATAACCCGATGGGACGGCAATTTGACACGACCGGAGAACCAACAGCTTTACGTTGGTTCCAAGACACAGATGTGAAACAACTTCCTGACTCCGGGCTTAAGATATGAATAGTGTACTGTACTGTCAAGTATAAAATGTTGCAAATTATATTGTCATTTAACCATTATACATATAATTTTATACACTATGTGCTTTATTATAGTGTTTAATATATAAATTATTCTGCCTTTTGTAAAAGAATAAAACAACAATAGTATACTTGTGTTTTTATTACAATGATATAAAATATCAAATGATTAAATCTTAAATATTAGAGATAATAAACATTTACATAGTAAATGCGTATAACACAACAGTACAGAGGTATATACATTTATAAACGAGCTTAACAACAAAAATTTGTGAATATGTTATGACTAAAAGCAGAAGTGTGATTAAACCTAGGTTTGGCCAGCTACAATTACGTGCATCTGATTGCGGTTGAATAAACTTACTTGTAGCCTATATAGGTAATTTATAAATTAGCAAATTTCTGCGGCTTTGGTCGCCCAAGGCAAACCCCAGCCTCACCTTCACCTACTAACACTGATCTTACTTGATACGTGCTTTAGTATTTTTGACAAATTTTACAGTGCACCTATGTATACAATCGGCTCCATCTAGTTGTAACCGGCTAATGTAGGTGTATCCGCACTTTGGTTTTTAGCTGCAACATTATAAGATAAGCGAGGATATCATTTACATTAATTTATGTTTATTTATACCAAAATTTCTTTAATTTATAAAACATTTGGCTAAGAAATGAAAAACATTGCAAACCTTAATTCAGTGCTGACCTCACTGCCATAAGTACTTTTAGTAGGACACTTGTGTCAAATGATATACTGAAAAGGAAGTGTCAAACCAAATATCTGTAGTAGAGATATTACGGAGGTACGATTGAATTGGACAATGAAGCTAAAATCAAGTGCCATTTGGAATTATTTCAATGAAGTTTCTGAGAATGCGGCAAAGTGTTAACTATGTGAGAAGATATATTCACGAAAGGGAGGTACGACTACTTCGTTAAAAAGTAATTTAAAGTCTGTGCATGCCACTGAATGCGAAGAATTCAAAAAATTTTAAACTGAAAAGAAAAATACAGTGTAAACCTGCCCTTAACACATCTCTTCTGCCTCCACCTCCGATTCCGATTTCGGTTCCTGTTCCGACAAAAAAAATTTTAAAACTCCGCTTCCGAATTCGGTTCCGATATAACCACTTCAATAACATCCCTAATCTGTAGAAATTGTAATGAAGGAATATCACTAAATGGCAAAATAGTTTTTGTAATCAAATAAACACTTCATTCCTAAGTGTTACATATTTTTTCAAATACTTATCAAAAATTATACTGGGAATACAGTCAAGATTTTATTTTTAGCTATTACTAAAAGTATAAATTGAAATTATTTTCTGTCACACACATCAATTATGTCATAGTTGTGGTCAGCACGTAAACTATCTAAGAAAGTCTTGTCCTATACAGCTTGATCTCTAAATGCTAAAGCCGTTATTGGTTTCTGATGTCCGCAGTATTCTCGCTCAAGGGTACCCTTCTCAAGATCCCAAAGTCTCGCATAGCTATCTGATGAGCCTGAAATAAAAAGTAGAATAATTAATATTGACTAGCTGATACCCGCGACTTCGTTCACGTTGCTGGATATATTAACAAAGAAAACACACATCACTCAACATGTAGTGCTTTAAAACTTTAATAACTTTATATTAAATAAAGATATCGCAATATTTTTTTTTAGATAAGGACAGTGTCTAAGAAATATAACTTAGAAAACCTAATTTAAATCTATGCAGCAATTTTTTCGTGATGCGCGCACAACTGCATACCTGTATCATTTTATTTATATACATGATAATAATTACATATAAACCTACTTTCACATAATAAATTAAAGATCAAAGAAAAATTAGTTGAATATTAAAAATATGTGCAATTCAGTCTACCCTCACTATCAACTTCCCATTTGATTTGGCTAATTTTATTGTAAGTTCAATCAATTTCTTTTGTTAAAAAACAACAACAAAATCGATCGATTAACCAATATGATTTCTAATATACACATGCACATATCCTTTAAGAAAACAGTAGAATTGGATTCTATGGTCCTCTAACAGATATATTAAAGAGGAAATTAGTAAAAATCTTAATTTTAGAAAAGAAAATTGATTTGATGTCTTTATTAATAATCCTTTAGAATAATTTTAGTTCTGTAACATTTTTGTATCGTTTTCATTTAACAACTGCATTTTATTTATTCATTACAGCCTATCAAAGTCTACTACTGCTGAACATAATATGCTTAAAATCTTTACAACGCCTCATCTTAGTAGGCAGGTTGGCAACCGCACCTTTTTTTATAACTATTATTAGGAAGACGCTGCTGCAATCAGTACTTTTATGGATTAGGCTATTATAATAATAATTTAAATACAAGTCTGCAAATAGTATCATAAAAGATATAAGCGGGAGTAGGAGTATAGGTATACAAATTAAAAGTTGATGGAACCAAAACACAACCAAAATTACACAAACTGGTGATGGAAGCTTCTAGGGCATCCAATCCCGTACGTTATTTGTATAAGTAGCGGCACGAAAGTCTAGCGGTGACCGTTATTGCGTATAAGTCGCGCTGATTGGCTCGTGCGTATCGTTCGCACGCGTTGATTGGCTCTCCAGTCGCATTCGTGCGCGTCCCCTACACGTTTCTTTCAGCGCTAGACTTACGTGCCGCGATTTGTAATCTCGGTATTTTTGGGATTCCGCAAGTGTAGGTAAATGCTGAATTTTAAAGTAGCTTCTGCTGTAATAAGACTAGCATCTTGCTGACAATGAACCCAGACAGCAAACTTTACCGGTTTAAGTGTTTGTTCTAATTTTTAATGTATCCAGTACATACTCAAAAAAAGGCCGCAAGTCCCGCGGATCTCGCACACACAATCCCTCTGCCTGCGGCGGGGTTAGAAAATGATGTGGGATGTCGGTATTTTGAGATCTCGGTATAACGAGATTCGATGTTCTAGAACCTGCATTACAAGAGCGAGTGTATAGCTACCGACTCAAGTAAAGTTATGCATGTCAGCCGACGCATTCTTAGATAGGCCTATGTCCTGAGATAGATTAAAAGCACTGTCCATTGTATGTGTGTGAAACATTATTATATTAGATTAAGGTAATTAATAGATTAAAGTAAACAAACGAGCACACTGACCACCTGGGTCACAGCATCCATTTACTATCTTATTAACGTCTTATCCTCGATTAAGAATCAAAATGTAAGTAGATGCAATAATACCCCTCAGGACTAAGTTGCCTCATTACCAACAAAAATAGTCTCTGAATCTCTACACATCATAAAAAAAGCAGCATTAAGCTGCTATTTTACGTTGGTATTCTATAAAAGCTTGGTCTTTCCTTGGTGGAGATGAGCCATTCATGCCATTCAAGTGTAATATAGTTGGCTTTGCCACATTAAATATCAGTGATAATATAATGAGGTGCGCGCGTGACCTGTGAAGAGGTAGCGCGAGTCGATGCTGAAGGCGGCGTCCCACACCCAGCGCTGCGTGTCGTGGCGCAGCTCGCGCAGCAGCGACCAGTCGCTGGTGCGCCACACGCGCGCCGAGCAGTCGCCCGACGTCGTCACCAGCATGCTGCCGCACCACCACACCACCAACCACTTACATTTCAATTCAAACTACAGTAATAGCTCACTCGGAACACCAGTGAGTGCAGCTATAGCTCATTGTTGAAAATAGGCCTCCACAATGAGAGCACCCACGACTATTAATGCCATCAGAGCGGCGCCATTTACGAATGAGGTGAAATATTTGACATATTACATGGCAGGGAAGTTAATTTATTAGGAAAATGTAAAGGTTAGTGTTTCTTTCCGCAATATTGGTTATATTTTATATTATTTAGATTTGTAATGAATAAACCAAATAACGGGTATTGCTAAAATAAGAAAAATTAAAAATGTGTTAAAAATATTATAAAGCATACCACTGAGGCATTGTTTCATGTATATATATAACTCTAGAAACCGATAAACTTTTATTTAAACGCAACTTCTCAATTATATGACATTGTGTAACAAAAAACTTCACCTTAGTCACAACTAGCGACATCTAGTGAACGAACGATTATTGGTCCTCATTGTAAGGAGATCTGCCTAATCGTCACACTTTGCAGATGCATTGACAACTAAATCAACTTTGCGCAACTGAACAGACTGCTCCTCGTTGCTGATCTGTGTATTTACGTGTGGCTTATGTGCACAAAACGAACGTAGTCATTGATTCTCTAAAGATGGAATTGTATAAATATGCTGGTAGCTTTCTATAGGCATTAAATAAATACATTTTGAAAAAAAAATATACTGTTGAGTGTTTTAGTAAATATAACTGCGAAATCCATGCCAGCACAATATGCTTCTCAGATACACTTGAAAGTGCCTACATTAATAATTTCAAATTTACATAGCACAATTTTAACAAGTTTCTTTCGTAATAGTGAATGAGCATTTAGCTAGGGCACTGCAAGCCTATAAATTATTTTTCTAGGTCTGTACATTTGTCAGTTTGCTAATTATGTATAATACAATGCCTCCACATCTTAAGAGAAAATTCTAGTGAGGTGGTAACGTTTAAAAAATGTATATTTAAAAAGAAATGATTTGTTATGGATCTAGTTAGTTATGTAACATCAGGTTTAAATTGGTGTTTATGTGATTGCACGTGCATTTAATTTTAGCAGTATAATAGCTATAATACTAATACCTATATCATAAGCACAGTTGATAACTTACGATTATTCGGTGGTCTAAAATCGGATGAAAAATCATCATTTCCTAAAAAAAGTTTCATCATCATCATCATCATTACAGCCCTTCATAAGTCCATTGTTGAACATAGTCCTCACCCAAGGAATGCCACAAAGCACGATCCTGGGCCACCTGCATCCATCGACTTCCTGCATGTCTTACCAGATCGTCACTCCATCAAGTGGGGGCTGCCACTTCCCTCATCGGTTGTCGGTTCTTCGAGCTATATGGCCGGCCCATTGCCACTTCAGCTTACTAATCCGTTGGGCTATGTTGGTTACTCTGGTACTACTGCGGATATCCTCATTTCTAACATAATCCAACTAGTGAGCACATACGTGGAATCTGGACTAAATTTGCAGCGCAGCGCATATTTTTTATGCGCTTGTAGATGTTTCCTGGGCACTGGCCTCGGCGGAGAGCCACCCAGCGACCACACGTAGCAGTTGCCCTTATTGTTCACAGCCGCCATCATCTTGCCTTCGGGGTCGATCGCGATGTCCTGGATTGATGCTTCAGCCTCTGGAATCTTGAATCGCACAAAGAAACATACTTCAAATAAAAAATACTCTTTAAAACATATTTTCATTTTGATATTTGAGAGGCAATTCATCAAGATGATTTTAACTAATTATATGGATGCGGCTACTTTAGTGTGTGCTGGATGATTGAGCGTAGTAGAATTCATCATCCCCTTTCGTTCCTTATGTGTAGCAATTCCACTGCGAAAAGAGCCGATAAAGTTTATGACTTCAAAATTTTACCGGACTAAAGATGTATGTACAAACTGGTGAACAAAGTCTAAATGTACCTAGGATGCTTTTCACCTATTTGCTATGTAGTACTTTACCCAAAGTGACATCTTTCTCGTTTCTTTTCGCCAGATATCACATCTGTCTATACAAGGTTTGTTCAATTTTAAGTTTCCCAGATTTTATGACTTAGATTATGATTATACAGGGCTTAGAAGCCAAAGTAACGGGTTATTCGCGATCGTAATGCTTGGCGAATTGTCGATCGCAGTGGCATACATACGTCACGGCAAGTTCGACGCTGCTCGCCACTACGTGACACGTAAAATATCCACACTGAATGCGAGTAGCACCGGAAATGATTATACCGACATCTATACGTATACGTAGCCATATGATTATTATAACTCTAACTGTTCCCCGCGACATCGCCCGCGTGTTATTTGGGATTTTAATTTTTTTGCGCAGAACCCTAATTCTTTTTCTAAAATAAAAGTAGCCTAAGTTACTTCTTGTGACATCAGCTATCTGCCAGTGAAAATCCCGTCAAAATGGATCCAGCCGTTTCGGAGATTAGCCGGAACAAACAGACAGACCGACAGACAAAAACTAAAAATTGTATTTTTGTTATTAGTACTGTATATGCTTTCATATGCATTTAGTAAAAAGCTGTAATTTTGACATTACAAACAGACACTTCAATTTTATTTATTTGTATAGATTGCTATGGCAACTGTTGGTTTTCGGACACAGGATGCATTCCCTTACGCCGCCACGACACGGCAGAAACAAGGACCTTTTAATCTTTTAACTGTAGTATGTTGAAATAAAATTAAAGGTACAGCCGATATACGCTTCCCACAGATAGGGACATATGTCTTCATTTCTAAAAGGGTCATGGAGCAATTAGCCCACCTCGCCGCTCCAGAGCATGTTGACGAACTTCGTGGCGAACATATTCCTCGAAATATTTTATTCCGTTTCTAGCGATGTTGACCACCCAAAATAAATTTAACAATTTCATTACTGTCGACGAGGCTTGATCACAAACTGATATTTACGGGTAGTACTTGGCCACTTAGCTACCACAGCTTGACTTAGTTATTGTTAAATATCCTGAAGAGGTTCCTGCTCTACAGCTGGGAACTTAGTAGCCGTGGTTTGACCACCCTCAGTAAGTTGAGTGAATTCTGCAGGCCGACCTGAAGGAGTAAACCACCCTGTGAAAGCTTAGTGAGCCTACTGTGAATGTACATTGATAAACTGTGGGGAGGTAGGGAGAATAGCAAAGATACCCACCACAGCCAAGGTGGACGCACTTTGGGATAAAAATGACAATAACGATGTGCCTCTATTCCTACCCTATGCAGTGACTGTAATTCAGCTGACACTTTAATTTACTCACTGTCCTGGCCCTCATAAATGGCGTCCGAGATGCGGTATCTTCTTTGTACATGTAAAGATAACTCATTAGTGAGTGATTTTAGCAATGACAAAACACCTCTGGCTACCCTGACAAACCCATGCTCCTCTCTAGGGGGCAATACGTTAAGGATTTATCAATGAGACGTTTATAATTACATAGTCAGGTCATAAGTATTGTCACACAGTAAAAACTTTTCTTTTAGAATGCTGGCCACAAAAAAGTTTATTGAATTCGAATTTCGAATTGTTCATGAAAATAAAACTGTATACTTTTTAGAATTTTACTCATTTTTAAATATGGAGTGGACGCTTAAAGAAGAGACCGTGTTGCAGTTATTGCGTTGCATCGCTGCGGTTACGCGTCAATTCAAATTTTTGACATACTGAAAAATTTGAATATAACCAAAAGATTCGTTTATCGTACCATCAAACGATACAATGAAGACTCTAGTGTAGATGACAGGTCAAGAAGTGGTCGCCCTCGGTCTGTTAGGACTCAAGCAGTGATAAAAGCTGTGAAGGCGCGTATTCAAAGAAATCCCAAACGTAAGCAGAAACTGTTGGCCCTTCAGATGGGGTTAAGCAGAACCACGGTGAAAAGGGTGTTAAATGAAGACTTAGGGCTTCGGGCATATCGAAGAAAAACAGGACATCGTTTGAATGCTCGTCTAATGGACCTGAGACTGAAGAGATGCCGCGCTTTGTTGAAGCGGTACGCGGGAAAAAAATATCGGGAAATTCTTTTTTCGGATGAAAAAGTTTTTACCGTAGAAGAGAGCTGCAACAAACAAAATGATAAGGTGTACGCACACAGTAGTGATGAAGCGAGCAACCATATTCCGCGTGTCCAACGAGGTCATTTTCCATCTTCGCTCATGGTATGGTTGGGAGTTTCTTATTGGGGCTTAACAGAGGTACATTTTTGTGAGAAAGGTGTAAAAACGAATGCAATTGTGTATCAACACGTTTTTTTGATAAATACAGTCCTGACGAACCTTGTGGAACCTGTTTCTCATACCATGTTCAATAACAGGCACTGGGTATTCCAAAACGATTCGGCGCCAGCTCATAGAGCGAAGAGCACACAAAACTGGCTGGCGGCGCGTGAAATCGACTTCATCCCGCACGAAGACTGGCCCTCCTCCAGTCCAGATTTGAATCCTTTAGATTACAATATATGGCAACACTTGGAGGAAAAGGCGTGCTCAAAGCCTCATCCCAATTTGGAGTCACTCAAGGCATCCTTGATTAAGGCAGCCGCCGATATTGACATGGACCTCGTTCGTGCTGCGATAGATGACTGGCCGCACAGATTGAAGGCCTGCATTCAAAATCACGGAGGTCATTTTGAATAAACTTTAGTGTCATAAGAATCTATGTATTGTTAAGTTCATTTTGGTATATAAATGGTTACATAATGAATAAACTTGTTTCAATTATTTTATATTAAACATGTGACAGAATTTATGACCTGACTAGGTACAATACAATTATCATACCAGTTGCTCATTGTGGTCCGTCTTCAAGTCCCACATGTGTATTATACCACTTTGACCCCCGACCATTATCTGTGACTGGTCAGGATGAAGCACCACTGCGTTGACTGGTGCTGGCACCTGAAAGATGCGCTGGCACTGGAATGGTCTTCCTGCCCTGTAAAATGCTATTTTCGTCCTTGCAAATTCCATTTTTTATCCACTTTACTAAGGACAATATACAATTTCACTAACAACTTTCTTTGACAAAAAACAATCAAATTTGTGCAAAATTTTGCATTTAATTGCAATAAAAATGTATCAGCTTGATTATCCGTAAATGAGTTAATGCATATTAATACATAAAATTAACAGCCTTAAGAGAACAAAGAGCAAAAAAGTTAAATAAGTTTACAAAATAACAGACAAAGACTAATGAGAGAATTTTTGCCATAGTTGCCATACTTGGCAGGCAGGTTGGCAACCATGGCTTTTTCCGCCATAAGAAAAAATGAACTAATAAAATCTTGACAACCTCAGATCCCATATCCTTGCTGTGCAATCTTCACCTCCTGTGTACATCCACTGTCCATTTTCCTAAAATTAAAACATTCAATTAGAAATCTTGGCAGTCGTAAACATGTATTTTCATTATTATTATATAACTTACTTGAAAGCCTACTCTCGAAACATTTTTAGATATAGCTTCAAAGTTCATCACAGGATCTGGGTTAGCACTAGCCAAATCATACATCCTAATGTGTTGATAGCCACAAGCTGCTACCATTTGACCATTTGGTGTGATTTCCAAGTCATTGACTTGCTGTGAAAATATTAATAGAATGTACACAATTAAGCATAATGTAACAACTGAAGTCACAGACTTTCTCTACACCATGCTGGGTTCGGTCAATGCCCATCGCATTAGTAATTCAGGAGGATGTTACTTGAGTCACCTCCCTGATTGGGTATGACAACTAAGGTTGTGTCCTACCTTAATGACTTTATTGACACCTGCCTCTTGTGTAGTGCTCTATCCAGAGCAATTTAATGAACTGTATTTCTAGTGATTCAAGGGGTTGAACAATACTGACACTACTTTTCCAAGGACTACGGAATAATAACACCAATTCAATTTTCACAACTGCCTAAGAAATACTATAAATTTCACATATTATACTAATACTTGTTAATTGTAATTAACACTTGAATGTACTTGTTCCAGCAAGCTTACAAAGCTAACTTCTCTCAAGGCATATATAATACAGAATTAGAATGTATATTACAATTTTTTTTTTAATTACAAATTGTCTTTAAAATACATTACATTATTGTAAATATATTGAGACCAAATTTAATATATTAATTTCCTTACATTTTTGTCTAAGTTTTTTAAATTTGGTTTTAAATTAAACATTACACTTATGACCTGCTTCTTTTATAGTATTTGATTATTTATGTCAAGATTTAGGCCTTTTCGACAGAATTATGGATTCGCATACTTAAACATGTAGACTATGGCTAGGATAAAATGTGATAGCTACACGGTTCATGCCAACTGTGTTATAACTGGAACTGTGAACTTGACCAGGAATGGAGCACAATATACAGACATAAAATAGCAGCATAATGTTGCTGTTTTGCATAGTAAATTACAAGAACCCTTTGTTCTGATAATGAAAACTAATATAAATTTATAAATTATAAATATTTGTTTTGTGATTGTTACCGAATCAGGATGCTGCATAGTACGTAAACACACGCCACTGTGTGCTTGCCAAAGCTTAATAGTGTGATCATAGCCGCCGGTAACCAAAGCCACTTGAGTTCCACTACTAACACCACCAGAACCGTCACCAGACATAGCTATGTTCCAATGTTAAAACTGTATTAGGGGGTACAAATAATAACTGTGATTAAGCCTACATATAAACAATGAAAACTAATTAACGTACTAGATAATAATATAACCATACAGGTTAATAAAAAGATGTCTGTTAAACACAAATTTAAAATTGAAATGATTTAATATTACATATTATAAAATATTTTACATTTGTTTACATTTACGAGTTAGAACTTTGACCATAGACATAGATAAATATATATGTAGTGTAGCAAGCTAACCATAGATTATTATTTTTTTAACAATATAGCCCACAGACTACTTAGTGGATACTACGTATTACGTATATATACGTAGATAGAGGATTGATAAGATACTATGTCTATGTATATATAGCCCTTTGTCGTTGGTATAGTGGTTATGTCAAAACCATTGACTATGATTATAATGGCGCTGGCGTATCGATAACCTGATAGCCCAAAAAGCGTGTCCAATTTTGATTTGTTATTGTGTTGAGTTAGCTAGTGATGTACATTTTACTTAAAAGGGCTATCGATAATTATTGTTCAGAAAGCGGTATAAGGACTAAAAAAAATTGTTTAATGCGCAGAACTGAATAAATTTCGTGCACTAAACTATTTTCAAATTCAAATCGTATATTGCGAATATAGGTTGATACAGTTGGTGTTTACGTAGTTTATCACTTATATAACAAACAATTAGTACTGCTATATTCCGCCATTTGGCATGCAATGTCCATCACATTTTATCACTTTTATTTTCTTAAAAATTAACTGAATTTTTACTATGATAGTTCTAAAATAACTAATGGATGATGAAAAAGGCAGGTAGGTGCAGCTTATTCCCGGTAACATGTTATTTGAATATTTTTTACAGTCTATAAAATCCGCTGCTCAACATAGGCCTCCCCATATATTGCCTCGTATGGGGGATATTAGCCATCGCTTGGCGAGGGGGTTGTCAACCACAGTATTTTATTATTTCTAGTTGTTATCAGGAAGATGCTGCTGCCCATCGCCTCTTTCAGTTTCCCTTTGTCGCCTTTTATAGACTATATTGGGTAGTTGAAATTCTTTCACCTGCGCTACTTGCCTTTTGTTAGACTTTAATTCAAAATGAACAAAACTGTAATAATATCTGAAGAGACCAGGTAAGTCTACCGATAAAATGAAACTATTTTCTTCAAGAATCAGATCGGAAAGTTATATTTTTGAACTATGACCTTTGGGGAAAAATGTTTAATGCCATGTACAATTTCCCGGGAATTTCTATTTCAACATAATGTTAATGTTAATCAAATATAAATAGGTGGATACTTAATTGAGTTTTGCTGGTAAAATAGAAAACGAGGACACGGAGTACATAATAGCTGCTTTATTTTTTATATAATTATTACCTTTAATATTTACAAAACAGAATCGGAAACATAAACAAAAAAAGTAATTTAATAATTACACAGATATATAAAAAAAAACCATGTAATAATTAATATTTCAGTACATCATAAAAGTTTATTTTAACATCCGACTTTAATATGAAAGTAAACTTAATAATTTAAGTAAAGAAATTTGTAGGAATCAATTAAATAAGATTGTTCTGTTTAAATTAAATTATTAAGCTTACATTCACATTTGAGACGAATGTCAAAATAAAATTCTATAATATATTTCATTATTAAATATCTGTGCCCACTTAAAATATCTTTGAAAAAACTGTGGCGTATCAAACATGAAAACAAGTCACAATTGTCTATCAATATAAGGAGCACAGCTTTTTTCAGTATAGGTCTCCCAATACCTTTAGTGATTTTATTATTTTCTCGAATAAACTTTTTACATTTGAGACAAAGATGAATTACATCTTGTGATGGATATGTTAAACAGCCTTCGATCTTAGATGAAAAATCTTTTTTGCTTATAAATGAATTCGCACTACTGAATTGGCGGGAAGACTGTACGGTATTGCAACACTCTTCACAAGCTATTTTAATTTTTACTTCTTGTACCACAAATCCGGCTATATACTCTACTATACATTGTATTGTGTTTGATAAGGACTCTTCATTGTGAGTTAGATATAGGAAATCAAAATCATTTTCACTGTGCGTTACCAAAGATAAGAAAAATTCCTTTATTTTATTATACATTAAAGATGTATTAATTTACTGCTCGACAGTCAAATTCGAATTAAATAAAATCGTTATATCTTCTAAGGCCCGACAGTTGCTACTTTCGGCAGTTTTTATTTGAGTGTGCCAAAGCAAACGCTTATAAGCTGACATAAAATTTCTAAGTGTTGGATTATTATTCAATCCACTGCGAGATCTAACAGCGCTGAAAAACATTTCGAGGTGGTCCTGATACATTTTCTAAAACGGGATAAATTTCAATGCACCTTTTTCTATGAAATCAAGGTAAAGCCATTTTAGCAACCTTATGTTTATTAAAAATCAAGTAGCCCTAGTTTTCTTGGTGAATAAATTATAAAGGAAACATTTTCAAATTTAATGTTGCAAAAATAATCATATTTTTCGTCCAACTTATTAAAAATGTCATCTCTATTTTTTTTTGTAAAGGGGTTTTTTATACCCATAATTCAAAAAAAATCTTGAATTAAATATGTCAAATAAGTCATTAAGGTGTGTAATAAATGTGACAGTAGCCTTCGAATTCTGGAATTGTGGTAATTTTAAACCCTGTTCACAATACTCTACTGTTGTTGCTACTGAACGTGATAGTATGTAACTGTGATGCTATTTTCTGTTTAACATAATTGATATGACGGAAGGTTTTTTTTTATAGGAGAGGGCAAACGAGCATGCGGCTCACCTGATGGTAAGTGATTACCGCCGCCCATGAACAGCTGCAACACCAGGGAGGGAATAGCAGATGCGTTGCCGGCCTTTTAAAAAGGAATACGCTCTTTTCTTGAAGGTCCCTAAGTCGTATCGGTCCGGAAAAATCGCTGATGGTAATCGATTCCACAGGGAAGTCATGCGAGGAAGAAAACATCTTCTAAATTGCACAGTGGTGGACCGCCAATCATCCAGAAGGTGCGATGTGCGTTCGTGAAATTTGGCGGCTGGGATTAATCCGAACAATTCCTCAGAGCACTGACCGTGATAGATGCGAAAGAAAATGCAAAGGGATGCAACATCTCTTCGCAGTGCCAATGAATCGAGCCGATCGGAAAGGGCTCGGTCGTCGACGTTTCGAGCCGCTCTGCGCTGGATGCTGTCAAGTGGAAGGAGCTGGCACTGGGGAGCCCCTGCCCAGAGATGGGAACAGTATTCCATGTGAGGCCGAACCTGCGCCTTGTAAAGTTGCAGGCGGTGTGCCGGTATGAAATACTGTCCCGCTCTGCTGAGCACGCCAAGCTTTTTAGAGGCCAATTTGGCCTTCTCTTCCAAGTGACCACGAAACTGCACGTCACTCGATATGTCGACTCCGAGGATTCCGATACTGGCTGAGGCAAGAAGGGGAGTGCCTTGAATCTGAGAAGATACGATAACGGGGTTCTTTTTAGCGGTAAACGCGCAAACTTGTGTCTTCTGAGGTTAAACTGGTTTAGATTTAGTCGCCCCCAACCCGAGACTTTGTCCAGCAAAGACTCGACTTCAGACACAAGTTTGTTCCGGTACTCAGCGACGTTTTCCCGAGCAATATCTACAGGGGTGCTGGTACCCTCCTGGGGTAGTCTTACGTGTAATTCCGCTACCATGTTGATGGGGGGGGGGGGGGGGGGAATTGGGCCTCCGGCCACCTGCACTCACCAGGCGAAACGCAGAAGCAGAGCTTCACGTCGGTATTCTTCTACTTCACGCCGGTATTCTGTGAGGGCGTGGTACCAACCCGGCTCGAGCCGGCTCATACGTGCAACAGCAAAAACTGCTGCGTGGCTCTACCACCGTTAAAATTTGTTCGCTAAGTGAAGGCCTGCTTCTTTTTGTAATTGGTAAAGAGCCTATATGTAACCAAAATCAATTTTTTTAAACGATTCATCGATGAGATCTCTTTTATCGCTGAAAAAGTTGCGAATCATTTTTAATAAATGACATGCATCTAAAATTACAAAATATTTTCGATCTTTATGAACAAAATGTGATTTAAAATTAGATCCAAAAGAAAAATCGGTAACTAAAAGCTGGGCCTTGTTTAGATATGAAGCAATGCCAACAAATTTAATGGAAATGATTTCACATTCCGTAAGGTGTAATAAATCCAGACATATTCTTAAAATATTTGCTTTTTGTGAGGCCGTAAATCTCCTACACGGAAAGTATACTACTGAAATTTTCAAAAACGCATTTAATGCCACAACCATAAAAACTAAAACCTGGTTCGCAATTTCAGCACCATCCATAGCCAAATCGTTGCCAAAACTTACAAATCCATGATGCTTCTGGCCTACCCATTCAGTGTATTCACGTATACTCATTTCATCAAAAGTGAGACATTGTTTTAGATCAGGCTTCTTTTTTCTCATTTCTCTAATGGTGTTTAAAGATTCTTGAGTGAAACCAGGTTCACAGTCTAGTCTGGCATACCAGGTACGCAATGTGTTAACATGTGGAAGACACAAATCAAATTTTTCACGTATATAATTATATGCTATTGGACTATAGAAATGAATTGTAACAGCAAATTTTCGTAATTCTTCATTATATTTGGATAAAGACACTAGTTTACCACAATTTTTATCATTTACCCTGTAAATTAAATTCTGTATCAATTCATTGCTACATGCCATAGTGATATCGCTAAAATGATCTTTAATCCTGGTCTTGAATGAATTTCTTCAAGCACGTTTTGCAAAGGGACTATTTTTTTAGCCTGTCTTTTAGTTTTTGCTGCTAAGCTACGTATTTTCTTTTGTTTTTCTTTCAGCTTATGTTTTAATTTCTCGAATTTTGATAAAAGTTTTTTTCTTGGTGCAAATTGATCACTTCTTTCTTGTGATTTCAAAGATGGAGGGGTTATGTCACAATCGACATACGA